AAAAAAAAATTGTGGGTATTTTCTGCCCCCAAACTGCTCAAAAGTGCCTCAAAACACACTGGTGTTGACTCCGCAAGCAACCTGTGAACTCTGCAAAACCAGGTGGAAAATTAAACCAGAAGAGATGTGACATCCCCTCTGGTCATGATGGAAGCACTGGGGCAGCCTCCAGGGGTGGGGGTCATAGGGGGAAATGGCCCCCTTCTTTCCAGTTGCCCCCAGTCTACCTGTTAGATACCGGTTTGTCCTAACTGAATAATGCCCATTTCTGAGTCTGTTTTCTTCTTCCGTTTTGAAAAAAAACAAACCACTTCCATAAAACCTGAAATGTTGTTCGGTCAGAGGTCCCTTTTTATCCTGAAACCTTAAACTACAGGTTGTGTAAACTGCATCTGCACTGCAAAAATAATGCAGTTTGCTTTCATTGCCATGGCTCCATGCTATGGAATTCTGGGATTTGTAGTTTTGGGTGATATTGAGCAGTCTCTGACAGAGAGCTCTAGTGCCGCTGCAAACTACACATCCCAGGATTCCATAGCATGGAGTCATGTAATTAAAGCAGTCAAAGTGCATTATTTCTGCAGTGTGGTTGCAGCCACAGAGTGTGCATAAATCTGACATTGTCTGGATTCCCTTGTGAAATTCCATGATCGAAGGAGAACAGTTGCCTGATAAAATCTAATCTGGAAGAGGGGCCCCTGCTTTCTGTCTTTGGCAGAGGGCAAAGAAGGCATGTTTCACCTGTAGCAACCTGCCTTCCATTCCAATCTAAGCTTAAACTGAGCTTGAGCCCCAGAATATCTAGAATAGCTCACTAGGCCTCTAAAGCCCTGGCGAATTAGCATCTGGCTTTGGAGGAATCCAGACTAATGGAGATACGAACGAGAAGCTACTGTCGGGATATTGAACACTGTATTTAAAAGGAAGGCCGATCAAACCATCCTTTTGCAGCACATCAAGAAAGAAATGTCTTGAGTACTCTTTTATTTTGTGAATGCATGTGGAAGAGAGATACATAAAGCCAACCTGCTGCCGATAAAAAAGCCTGGGAAATAATTCTGGGGAGGAAAAACTTGCTAAGCCTTCTGCCCACAGAGAGCTTTTATGGAAATTTGTGGTGTAAAAGAAACAAGTTTTGACATTTTTATTTCTTAAATCCATTTTCTCCCTAAGAATAAATGAACAAAAGTGGGGAGAGGGGGTTTACAGTTGTAACTGGCAAGAAAGAAATAAAAAAGGAAACGGAAGCCTTCTGATTTTTAGAGTCGAGCAGCTCAACAGTCAGCTGTCACTACAGCAGCCTTCCCCAGCTTGCTGGGGGAATTATAGGAGTTATAGTCCAACACATCGATAGCGTGCCAGGTTGCGTTAGGCTAGTGTAGCCCATGGAAGAAAAAGAGCAGGAGATAGCATACCTGAACCTTATAGGAATCCATTTAGCCCATTATTGACTAATCCAAATGGTGGTGAGTCTCCAAGGCTGCTGCTCACACTGCAGAATTAATGCCATTTGAGGCTGCTTAAACTGTCATGGCTCCATCCTATGGAATCCTGGGATGTGTAGTTTGTTGTGGCACCAAAGCTCTCTGGTAGAAAAGGCTAAATATCTCACAAAACTCCAAAGCTCGGAATTCCATAGCATTGAGCCATGGCAGTTAAACTGGTGTCAAACCAGATTATTCCTGCAGTGCGGATGCAGCCTCTGTCCCAAGAGTGCCTTCCTGCTTTTGCATCCCGTGACCTGGGTGGACCCTGAAGACCATCCTAACACCCTCAGGAGATACAGAGCAGCCCTGCTTTGAGGCCAGCCTCAAGA